TATGCGAATAACTGGAGTTTCTTGTCACTAGCTGAACAAAAAATAAAGAAGATAAATCTCAGTGTTTTGCTATGGATCGCGCTGAAGTGCAGTTTGTGAGGGGTTTTCCTCCAAAGCAAAATGTTTGCTGCCAGGTGAGGATCAAGCTCCTTCCTCTTTGGGACTGGAGGCCATAGGAAGTGTTTATTTAAAACTTTAATTTCCTTGTATTTGAGCTTGGGTTTTAAAAGGCAAGTAGAGTCATGTTTGCTCGAGGGACTCGGAAAGGCATCTGTACAATCACTGTTTGAAATAAGCTGGAATCCATAAAGGTTATTCGCGGTGTAATATCTCGGCAGGCACTTGGTTTACAGATCACCCTTCTTAGTGTCTTGCAGTTTGCTCGTTTGTCCAGGTTTAAACAAAAAGCCTTTTTTTTTTTTTTTTACTTTCTGCGGGTTTCCCTTCCCTTAGAACTCTTTGACTCCAAACCAAAGCCACTTCCTATTCCGAAAATCCACAAAAGTGATTTCAGGTGTTAATTTATTCCCACCTCTCATTGAAATATTTATTTAGCCACAGTTGCTCAGGCGGAGCGGAGCCTGCGCCATGTGGTTTTCCCCCGGAATGTGACAAAAACACAGCCTCCCTAAAGCTCCTCCCGTTTTTGACAGGATGCAAACCTCCCCTCCATTAAGGCGAACATGCCTTTGCACTCAGTGCAGACGCCGCATATGGTTGATGTCTAATTCTAGGTGACTCTGAGCATCCCAGCTTTCATTTGCTGGCTTTTAGCCGTGCGTCTCCCATGCAAAATTAAAAATATCCGTGAGCTGCGGAAAAGCAGAGTGCCTTTCGCTCCCGCCTGCGAAGCGTCCTCTGTGTTCGGGTTCAAGAGGCAGCCTGCTAAAGATAGAAGGGACGCCGGTGGAAGTAAGAAGAAGCACCTGCACTTCTGTTCAGACTCCCAAAATGCAGTTTTGCTCAGCTCTCTGTGGGTCAGGAAGGTCCTCACTCCTCAGCTGCTCCTTCCCAAGCTGCCTAGCGTGTGGTAGATCTGTTGTAAAAATAGCATGTGTCGTTTTTATTTATCCATTTGTTTACTTACCAACTACTGCTAGCATTTGCGACCTTTTGCGCTATAAAAGTAGTTGGCTGCGGAGCAGAGCGGGTCATCGTTTGAAATTAGGTCATCTGGCATCTCAGGGAGAACCTGCTGCGGCCAGGCTGGTTTAGTTTTGCTTTTATCATGGGTTCTGCCCTGCGTGGGGATTACAGCTGTCTTCTGGTCGCTCGCCAGGGGCTCGGTTAATCTTCCAGCGCAGCCACAGCATGTGGGGCTGCAGTTTGAACTGGAGCATCTTCCACAGGCGAGATTCCACCCCAGCGCGGCTGGCGGGAGCGCTGAGTGCTCTTAGGTGTCTGTCACGCTTGTGGCTTGGCTTTAGGAAATGATTTCCTAGAAATAATCTAGCGTCAGGCATGCCTCTGCACGGGGCATTGCCTGGGACAACGCTTCTACAAGGCTTCCGAATCATTCAGGTGCGGTAATGCGCAAAGAGGGAGTGCCACATCACATGTTTGCAGGATTGAGCCCGTGGGTTTGTGGTAAAAGAATAAATCTTGTTTTATAGTAGTGGCGCGTTCTGTGTCCTGGGAGACCTGATTTCTTAAGTGGCACCTGATCTCCTACCTCAAAAGCAGAGGTGAGGTGTTGAATGTGACCAGACGCAGCATTTACTCGCTTCAGACATTCCTCTGGGTGCGCAGAATGACTCTGAATTTGACCTTTGGGATGACTCGTTTACACTTCAGCCTGGATCTGAAAGGATCCTCATATTATCCTCTGGATCTTGATGCAAGATCGTCGTGGAGTGGAGTCTTTCAGAAAAGTCATGCAGAAAAAACCCTCACATGCGTTATATTCCTTGGGAATAAGGAGGAGTATGTCCATAGTGTGATTTTTTTTTTTGAAAAAGAAACATAATTTGTTTGTATATTTGATTTCTATAATGAAAATGGTGTAGATTTGTGTAAAACAATAGTTACAGTGCAGTTCCTGAAGCCATGATTGTGATCCTACCCTTCTTTCTTCAGTATTATACTTCATGGTCTGCTGAAATCGTGTTTAGGGGGATAAAAATAGTGTATCTTCTGTTTTTTGGCATCCAACCTCTAATTTAAAAATATAATTTATGCTAATCTTGGAAGTGCTTCTTGGATACAAAGTAAAATGTGTCATCCTTAGTCTATGTGTGTATAATTTATTCTGATGGGGAAGAGACATTTCAAAGCCCTTTCAGCCCTTGATGCTCCGAACATTTGATACGTGCTGGGGGCTCGTTGCTGTAAGAGTAGGGAAGTGGTTAAAGTCAGAGCGGCTGCTCCCAGAACCCCCAAAAAAGGTGGATGCACCAAGGGGTGAACAGCTGGTTGCTCAGTCAGCCCAGGTCATGATGCAAGACTCGAGCTAAGTGTTTTTGTTCCTTTTGTGTTTTGGCTGGTCACTTTTCTGACGGACTTAAAAAACCTCCCTGCGTCATCGCGGTCGATTTTTGGCGACTTCTCTTTTCTTCGGGCGGCTTCCCTGGTGCCTGGCATGGGGCATCCTCCTGCTGCAGAGGTCAGCTCTCAGAATCAGGTGCAGTTCTGCTTTTGAGCTTGTGGATAAAAAGTCAGCAAATCTCGTATAAAGGAGCAGGGGAAGAAAAGTAGAAACCGCACAAAGGGGAGAACTACCAAGTGGTTTCTGATGCCCGAGGCATGAAAGTAATCCATTGTACGTCTGAACTGATAAGAGAATTTCTGGATGAATACCAAGAACAAGGGTAGGTAGATGGACGGGAAGAAAATACAGCTCTAGGGTATTTTGCCTTGATGGGGCTTAGATATTTCCAAGAATTCTCCTACTCCTTTCAATTGCACTGAGGGGTTTAATATTGCACATTGTCTGTAGTTCAAGCAGTAACACCAAGTAAAGCAAAACTTTTCGCACAACTGTTGACTCATTTTCCAGGAGTTAATTCGATTTCTGCCTGGACCAAGTAATGAAACATCACAGCGATTTAAAACTGTTCTTGGCAATGCTAAGTAGGAGCAATGCAAATTAAAAAGACCACACCAATGGAGGCAGGCAGTCTCTGGATACTCTGTCTTTGCTGTGTATTTTTCAGCAATGTGATGAAAAGTGCTTTTCTTTAGTTTTCTAACTTAGCAACGCATCCCTAGTCAAAGGGGACGCCGTGACTCGTGGCGAAGCGCTCTGCTTCAGGGTGCTGGAGCCAGCCTCGCTGGCACCACCCTTTTTTTTTTTTTTACCCTGATAAGAATTTTAATGCCAGGGATATGGGAAACTGAAATTTTGTTTGCTAAATGTGAGCTCTCCAGTGGGCTTAAGGAAGGAGGCAGATTCCCCACCTGCGTTCTTTGGCGTGTTTGGATAGTAATCTCCTTTACGTAACGTGATGGGCCCCTGTTGTGTTCCGGTGTCAGAGGATTATGCTATTTTCAGAACAATTTACGAGAGATTAGTAGAGGCATAGTTAATCATTTAAATTAGCTACAGGTTTTTTATTAATCTTCAGATTAATGAGTTCTACCTTTTGCTTTTTCTTTGTGCGAGTCCCTCTGGAATTGATGCCAATAAGGATTTGGTAATAACCGGGAGGTCAGTGGGGATCAGTGCCCTGGAGCACGGCCCGAGTTTGGTTTTACCAGTTTGGAAGGTGGACCTCCCCACCAACGGTGATGAAATAAAAATGCGAGGACAGTAGTAAGCAAACGAAGGCTCTGCTTTTTCACACAACACAACGGTATGTGTTGCACGGTGCCGGTGCGATGCTTTTAAGGTGTTCGGAGATGTTACCTGCGCTGGGGACGGGGACAGCATCAGAGAGCAAAGTGACTATGCTCACTCTTCACATGAACCGCTGAGAAACGTTCTTGCCTTTTAAAGGAAGAAACGTATTCCAGCACCAAATAAACGGCACCAGCCGCATCAGGGAGGAAGTTTAGCGGAGCTGAGTGACCCTGCATGGAGCTTCGCTCTGTGTGGAGGGGAAGGAGGAGGTTATTGGGGCCTTCCTGGGACTTGGCGATTCTCCTGCTGACATTTCGGCACACCCGTGGCAGCACTGTCGGCGAACCTCCACGCAAACAGGCCCACGGTCGCCTGCGTGTGCTGCTGAGCTGCCTTCCCTGAAATATAAGCACCAGGGAGAGACGTTTTTCAGAGCTGATAAGGACACACGAATATACCGGGTTCTCAGCCCTGCCAACCACAGCACGATGTAGTGCTTGCTCTGACAGCATTTGTTTCAATTTCGTCTCGTTTCCTTCTTCTCTTGCTGTGTTTGTGAACGGCTGGAGGTTATTTTCTTGCTGGTGTCCCACAACCCGTTGCCTCTTCATCTCCTGCGCTTGTATCTTACTGGTCTGACGGTGCTCATGTTGCAGCTTCAGGTGGGTTTGATGAGACGTTAAGATTCAGTTTCCTATTTCCAAGTAATCTGTAGAGCTTTTCTTTCTCCTGCGGTTCTTCAATCCGCAGGGAAATGATCGATTGGACCCCAAGAGCCTTGTTTCCCTGAGGTACACGAGTGTCTGTAGTCAAGGATGAGTGCAGGGGAGTGCGAATCAATACACAATGTTGCATTTCTGAAGCCGTGTTCTTTGCAGTCTCTCGTCTTCCAGCAAACTCAATTCTGACCTCTGACATTTGAAATTTGTTCTACAGGCAATTTCTGTGAAATGCTGTGAAACCTGAACAAAAGCTTTTCTCAATTTCTTTTGTAAAACTTTAGTGAGTGGGTGGCAGCGTACCTGCGTTTCGGTTGCTGGCAACTTAATTTGAAAAATGGGCTATTCTAGTAGTCACCTTGTTTTACAAAAAGAAAAGAGTATTACTGGTTTCCAAATCTGAAAGCACAAAGCGCTCACTGCTGGTGGAACAGAGATCCTGGTTCCAGGTGCAGTTCAGGCAGAGGTGGATCCTGTACTTACACGTGTATTTTCTTTTACAGCATAGGTGGGGAAGTAGTGAGAGGAAATGAAGGAAGCTACGTGGGGAAACATTTCCGCATGGGATTTATGACGATGCCTGCTCCTCAGGACAGACTGCCACATCCTTGCTCCAGCGGTTTTACCGTGAGATCCCAGTCTCTTCATTCTGTTGGAGGAACCGATGACGAAAGTAGCAGCTCTCGGAAGCAGCCGCCTCCAAAACCGAAGCGAGACCCCAACACCAAACTGAGCACCTCATCCGAAACAGTCAACACTGGAACGACAAGTAAAAGTGGGAAACTACCGGACAGGACTGAAGGTATACACTGTCATTCTTCGGAAAAAAGGAGTTTGGTGACCCGATGTTCAGATTACCCAGCCGATCATTTAGGAATTGCCCGTATGTTTCCCCCTCTGTGTGGCACAGGTATCCTAGATGTGTTCTCTAAGTTCTGGGCCAGCAGGTCATTTCTTAAAGAACCGCACCACTTATGTAGCCTGGTTGTACACCAGGAGATGAGTCAAATTTATTCAAAACGAAGGGAAGGAGAGATTGCTGTCAGATGGCAGGTAGGGCGGTGTTACCACACGCCAGCCTAGGAGCACTCACCACAGCACCAGCACTGTGCCAGCACAGCTTTGGAAAGGGTCCTCCTCAGCAAAGAAGTGAAGGACAGAACTGATTAAAAAGTACTACTGTGGGGCCTTGAAGCTCTACAGCAGGGAAATACCAGCCAGCGGTAAAAATTGTACCCGAGATGATATAACGTATTGCCCAGAGCTTCCGTTCACCTGTGAGTCTACATTTTCTCTTCCCATTTCTCCCAGTTACATTTCAGCCAATGCAATGTTCAGAAGAAGAGCAAACAGATGTGTTGAGTAAGGATTGCTTCCTTCCTCTGAGCTACTAAAGCTGAGCTGACGCTGTGGGGATCTCCTGCCTCTCTTCCATGCTGGGAACGTGTTCTGTGCAGCAGGGGGACCAGCTGCGCTCCCCGCTGGGAGAGATCAGGACGACCCTGCTTCACAGCATGAGCTGGAAGGAGGAACCCTGGGGGACAAATGGGTTTGATCAGCACTGGCCTCTCCCACTGCTGCCGTGCAGATGGGTTTTGACATCCCAGGCGCTGCATCGTGCTCTCAGCGCGCATCCCTTTTGCTCGTTGTTGTGACCAGAAATACTTGTTCATGCTTTTAAGCAAATCAGGAGTTGACACAAAATTGTTGCCAGATTGTTGGTTTGTTTTATTTTCGTGGCAATGCAGAATAATTCAGACTGTAAAGTCTGTCAGCTGACCCCATGGCTACTTTGAAAAGGAATTTGCTGCATTTCCCAGGCAACTGGGCACAGCCTCGCCACTCATTTTCACTGAACGTGTTCACCTTTTGCTTTTTGGTAATGATCCAGTTTATACAAACTAAAGCTGTTCTTAACAGTAACTTTTATCCTATTTCTGATCATGGTAAAGTCAAAATACTGAATCCAACCCATCATATTAACTGCTATAGCATTAGAACATGTTTTGAACGTGAGCCTGCCATCCCTGCAGAAGTAAGCTGCAGGAGAAATTTGGTCAAGAGCTTGAAAGACCTTTTTCTCCTGAAGCACAAACGTCATCAGCCACATAGGCTCCACACGCTTTTCCTATAAGTACTTTTGCTTCCAAGTGCTTGGGAGTGTGAGAATCTTCCTTTAAGCTGCAAAGACACGGGCCAGCCCAGTCTTGTTGTGCAGCAGCGCGGTAACGCTTCAGTTTTGGTATGTGTCCTCCCAGACCACCTTGGCTGGGCCCAAAAGAGCCCTCTCCTGCCCGAGGGTCTCCATAATTGACTTTAGTTTTGTTGCTGCGTTGTCACACTTTTGTGTGCCTTCTTATGCTTCAAATATTCCTTCTTTACTCTTCTGGCTACCTCTCACACACACCCACTGAATGCCTCCCACCCAGCGCATTTCTCCTCCCTGACAGGTTTTCTAGAAAGTTGTTCTGAAAAACGTGGGTTGTCTTTTCTGCAGAGTTTTGCAACTCTGGTAGGAGCAGCAAAGCAGTGTGGCTGTGCCCCGGACATCACGCATTGCAAGTGAGAAGTGAACTGAAAAGGGTAATTTTAAATAACGTTTCAGCACAGAATGCATATCTAATCGTGAGGAAGTATAAATGAAATGCGTTTTGAAAGGTAACTTTTTGTTAAAATTCTGTTTAGTGATATGGACAATAAGTATACGCCCATAAAATACATACGATGTAATTTGTGTATACATGTGTACACACGTGTGTCTAATGAAAAAGTGAGTTGTGTGTGCTTGCACGTACGTACAAACACGTGCACACAAATGCAGATTAAAACTCGAGTAGCATTTTCAAAGCGCTGTTCGTGGCTGTAATTCCACTCCTGCCAGAGGTTCAGGTCTGATACATGGCCGTGCTTGCAGGGATCCCACCCCTCAAACCCCCTCCATTGGTTCAGTGTTCTTGCTGCGAGTGTCGTGTGTGACAGAAGAAACCCTTCTGTCTCCTGAGCCCTCTCTCTGTTCTCAGCAATCTCTAGAGGTGGGCAGCTTGTAAGGAAAACTCTCCTCTGGAGAAAGGCAGTTCCAGAGCTGTGGCCGGGGCTGCAGCCCGGCCGGTCTGGCTCAGAGATCCAGCTCTCTGTTGGCTGGGCTGGTGACTCTGCGTTGTAAGCTTGAACTTCTCTGCTTTCGTGAAACAGAAGTTGGATTAAAGGGATTAGCCCTTCTGCTGGTTTTGCGTGGTGCTGGTTTCCTTTTATTCACTGCCTTAGCGAATAATGTGTTTAACCTGAGCTTCAAAAGAGCATCCTCTGCAGTGACCACGTCACATCCCTCCTTATAGCCAGATCCTATTCTCTCGTCTTTCCACCCGTGCCTACCGAGGGGAGAAGCACCACTAACGAGACCTCTTCAGACCTAACGAGTCTAAAGGGACTGACAGAGGAGTTCTGGTGGGTGTAGCTGTGGGCACTTTCAGCTGTAGCCGCTGCTTCTGGGCTGTATCCTCCAGGCAGCCGGGGCAGCGCCGTGCTGAGGCGGCACAACGCGGGATTTTAGGGACCTGTCTTCGGGCGCTGCTCTTGGCAAGGGTTGTCCAGTGTCTGTTGTTTAGCTCATTTTCCTACAGCTTGCTGTAGCATGATGTTTTGCTACAGCACTGTAGTTTGGCTTGTAAAAAGCTGCAGCTAGTGTTCACATCAGCAATGCAAGTATAATTTTTTTGAGGTGCTGGAGTGTGTGTCTGAAGAAGGGCAATGAAGCTGGGGAAGGGTCTGGAGATCAAGTGCGATGAAGAGCAGCTGGGGGAGCTGGGGTTGTTCATCATGGGGAAGAGAAGGCTGAGGGGAGACCTCATATAGCTCTCTGCAGCTCCCTGACAGGAGAGGGCAGCCAGGGGTTGTCGGTCTCTTCTCCCAAGATGAGGAAATGACCTCAGGTTGCACCAGGGGAGGTTTAGGTTGGGCATTAGGAAAAACTTCTACACGGAAAGGGTTGTGAAGCCCTGGCACAGGCTGCCCAGGGAAGTGATGGAGTCGCTGGAGGCGTTTAACAGACATGTGGATGTGGTGCTCTGGGCCGTGGGCTAGCGGTGGACTTGGTATTGCTGCCTTAACAGTTGGACTCGATGGTCTTAAAGGTCTCTTCCAACCTAAACGATTCGATTCTATGATTTTGCAATGCAAGCCAGCATTCAGCCATGTGTAAAGCAGTGTCTGATTTCCCTCACGAACCTTAATCAGAGTTTTGATCTCAGTGCTGCCTTACCCATGATTTTTTGCAGACCTTGAGAGGGCTTCGCTCCAACTCGTGCACACTGGGAGACGGCGTTTGGCCCCTCTGGTCCCCACAGACCTGCATCTAGCAGGAGGGACACGGCAAAGATTTCAGTCTAATGTCTAGTGTTTCATAGCTTTTTCAAAGGCTTTGGGTTGTTTTTCTCGGGAGGGGGGAGTGGGGCAGTGGTAGTTTTCCAGTGTTTGTTTTTTCTTTGGTTTTGCTGAGGTTTTGGGTTGTCCCTCCCTGCAGCGAGTCGGTTTTCTGCCTGCAGCTCCCAGAGCTGGGTTCCTCTCCCGTTGGTACCTCTTCAGGTCTGTTTTCTGGTCCCTCAGGTAAGGGAGGGCAAGGAGGAAGGAAGGAAGGAAAGAGAGCAGCAGCTTTTAGAGCTGGTGTAATCACTTTCTGTGCAGAACAATGAACCCAGCGTGATTTTGGGAGGGATTTATAAACAAGTTTTGAAGCCACAGAGGGAGCCCATTCTCGCCCTCAGGGCACATATGCATACTCATTAACGCTAATGGAAGTTGCGAGCATTGAACGGAAAATAGACCGCGCACTGGTAAAAGACACGAAGCTCTAGTTACCCGCTTGGGGATCGCAGTGTGCCCAACGCGGCAGTTGCTGCACTAGCTGTGTTCTGCTAGTCTATGCTGTGTACTTCATGCCTTTTTTTTAATCTCTTTTTTAATCTAACAAAGCTGCTTTATATATCCTCCATCTCCCTTTTCCTGTGAGGATGTGGCTGGTTTGCTGAGAGGTGCGTCACCTGTGGAAAAAAAAAGCACAAAATTAAGCGTGCGGCCCCCCTGCAGCACAGACCTCTCTCTGCTCTCAAGGGTGGTGGATGCTCTGTTGTTCTTGATAATGGAAAAGACTTAAAAATGCGAGCTCGGGGAGCGTTGTGCTGTCTTACCAGCTTGACTGCAGACGCAGCCAGTCGAGGAGGAGAGAAGCCCTGCTAAACACTCGTGGCTCCTGCTGAGCAAGCGGGCTTTTCTCCAGGGCTGGCTTGATAAACCTGGCTGCAACACCAGGCTGGTGAATTCGCACCATTCTGACCCAGAATGAGGACCTCATAGTGGTGTTGGGTGTAAGGCAGACACGATGAGTAGTAGGCTTCCTCCAGGCTGCTGGCTGTATTAGGGTCATTGCAGTCCCTGGACACGCCAACGAGGCGAGGAAATGCGAGCCACTTACTCCTGCACTCAGCTGGGACCCAGGAGAGAGCGTTAGCGCAGGTTTCACATCGTGTGAAAGTCACTGCGCTGCTTCTAGAGCCAGCCCAGGCCTGGAAGTACTTCAGCTGTGCTCTCGAGGTGTCTGAATCAATAACCTTTACCAGAAGGACCACGGCAAAGGGAGAGTCTCTGAAGACGGCTCTCATGTGGGTGGGTGCTCTTGCCCACTGCGGGGTTAATCTGCAGCCTCGGTAGACAGCCCTCCTGTAACGGGAGCGAGGGTTAGGGTGCCCATCGATCCATTCCTTAGCCAGGGAGGGTTAGGGTGCCCATCGATCCATTCCTTAGCGTTAG